ACCCAGGAGTTTTACAAGCTAATGCTTATCTTGCAGGCTGTACATCTGAGTCCTAACTGAGTACAGTACCTAACTGAGGTAAAGTAACATAACATGCATATTCTGATTTATTCTGATATATTCTGATTAACTTACATTCTAAACATATATGCTGATATGTATGACTGCAAAAAGTGCTGTATAGCTGAACTTTTTCTGTGACACAATCATTTACCCACAGTTCATTTTCATAGTCTGGCTTCTGACTGGCAAATACAGAGCAGATCTAGATTCCTACCACATCTTACACAACCAGAGGCTTAAAGGAGCTTTCACAACTTCCTCTAGTTCTCATCAATGTGTTTTAAAATATCCAAGTTTGCAAGATTGAAGGATTTGAAATAAGGTAAGTATTGAAATAAGGTAAAGGAAGAAAGATCATTTGTCAAGAGATGTGCAAAGTAAGCAGAACTGTAAATGTCTTTCCAAGTCACAGGCATGTATCACTGTTATTTTCAGATATTTTTATATTGAAATTATAACTTTATTTAAAAACCATCTCCAGCACCATCCAACTGCAAGTTGTGCAACCTTAGAAATTAATGCTGTTACTGAAAAATGGCACTTTAGCTTTAGTTCCGTAAAGAACTCATGTCCAGGGAATGCACAAACTGCTATACTTACTATGAGATGGATGTGGTAAACTGTGTTATTGTACTGCATTGAATAAAAGCTGGTTGTTAGCCTCAAAAATCTCAAAATCAAAACCTCACTAGCCGCACCATCCAAGATTAAGATTATCTTGGTTTAGCCCTTCAGTGATACTCTCAGTGATACCCAGTGAGTGATGAAGAATCCCCACATGCTGAACACAAAAGAAACAAAGAAGGGAAGGAGTATGGAATAAGGAAGTTGGTCACCATTGAACCACCTGCCAAAGAGGTTGGATCTGGGAGGGAAAAGTAAGTCTGGAAGTCATATGGGATTGCAGAAAATTGAAGTGGCTCAAAAACTGGCAGTCAAAACTTATAGAAAATCTTAATCTCCACATTCTCTTTACTTCTAAAGTGACAGAAATGCCTTCCCTTTGACCCTGCCATTGCAAGTATGTTATCTGATGATTCAAACATAAAACTTGCCTATTACAGAAAATCCTTGCACGTGGACTTGCTAGGAGGAGTCCAGAGAAGGACCATGAGGATGATTGGAGTTCCTCTCCTATAAGGAAAAGCTGAGAGAGTTGGGGTTGTTCAGCCTGGAGAAGAGAGGCTCCAGGAGACCTTATTAACAGTCTTCCAACACCTAAAGGGGGCGTACAAGAAATCTGGACAGGGACTTTTTACACAGGAATGTAGTGACAGAACAAGGGGGAATAGCTTTAAACTGACAGGGGGAGATTTATCTTAGATATTACAAAGAAATTCTTCACTGTGAGGGTGGTGAGGCACTGGAACAGGTTGCCCTGAGGAGCTGTAGCTGTCCCACCCCTGGCAGTGTTCAAGGTCAGGTTGGATGAGGCTTTGAGCAACCTGGTCTGATGGAAATATACAGTCTTTAAGATCTCTTCCAAACCAAATTATTCTGTGATTCTATGCAAACAACTGTCTGCAGACCTGAGCATAAATAACATGCAGTAAATAGAAAAAGAAAGGGTTGTGTCAAAGAGAAGAAAAGACAAAGCAGCAAAACAGTGGAGCACCATTCATTCTGGGTAACAATAGAGGCATGATATTAAAGCCTTCTGGACTGTACTATGTTTAACTTTCCACTGTTTGACTGCATGACTCATCTCAAGTTATGGCAATTAAAAGGGTAAGGAAATTATTTTTTGTCCACCCTTAAGCAATATACGTATTCTCAAGTTTTTTTCCCTTCAGATGTGCTAAGTAAAGACTTCAGGAAATTTGAACTTTACATTTTAATTCCGTCTCCTCCCCAGCTTCTTTCATTGTAGTTCTGGAAACTCCACACTTCCTTGCCAGGAAAGCATGATGCCTCAGTACACCACCACTGAGCTCCTAGCCACTGCACCGGATGGACGGGAACCTAACTGGCAGCACCATGTGGCGCAATCCTTTCAGTTCAGGGTGGTTGAATGCATGAGCTCATATCAGGGCTAAATGTACCCGGACTTAGTGGGGCAGAGGGAGGGAAGACAAGCAAGAAGAAAATGTGTGAGTTGTAATAGGTTTATGCTCACCTCTGTTCCCTGTGAGGGAGCACAGCACATGCAACGAATATAACTTGTGATCAGATTTTAAGGCAGTAATGCTATTACCTTACCTCTGGGTTTAATTCTTTCTTAACATCCTATTACAAAGAATCCAGCTAAAGCTGTGAAATGTAAACTGCATGCATAATCTTCAGTTTCTAAGCAAAATTATTTTACTTAGGTATATATATAAATATATATATTTAGGAAAATACTTATCTCAAAAAAAGGCAACAACACTAGCATGGTGTGCTGCTTGACTTCAGTCTTCCCACTAGAGTGATGACATATTCTTTGAGATCTGCAAAATCAGTAGCTATTTATTCTACACAGATTTCTTACTGATGTATTTCTGATGCAATGATCTTACTGTAACTTAAAAGGTTACCATAGCTCAGTAGCCCTTCAGAAGGCAGATGTGTACGTGTTGATCTCCTCCAACAGCCTCCCATTGCAGCCTCCCTTTTCCTTGGATAAAAACTGAATAAACAATTCACCAGTGCAAACAAAACACCCACCTAACAAACCATATAAAGTATATCACTTTGTTACATTTGTCTTCTAGCTGTTTCACTTATGTGTGGTTGAATTTAAATAATCTTGCAAATATTAACTACTGTGTACAGTGTTCATTACCTGTAGTCTCAGTAGAAGCACTGCAAACAAAGGATGACCAGGTATTTATGCTGACTTTCAAATGTATGAAATACATCTACCTTTTCTGTACAGCTACAGTTGTACAGTTTCAGTATCTTTATCTACCAACTGGCCCGAATCTTATCTGGTTTGTGCTGTTTTGTTTTTTTTTCTCACTAGAGCAGCTTAAATTTTTTTCCTGTTATCTTTAAGCTATTGGCAACACATACATACTATTTAAAATTTTGTTTATCAGTGTGTAACTCTTCAAATCTTATCACTTAGATTCTTTGCCACTTATTTTCAGTCTTTCCAGCCTTTAGTTTTTATCACTGTACCTAGATCCTATTTTAATTAGGAAGGCTTCTTGCCCAGACATTAATATATGAACTCTAACAAGGTTCAGCACAGTATTTCCAATGACCTACCCTGCATGTGATTAAGCCTGACAAATAAAACTATTTGACTGCTGCACTATCTGATTTCAACAGATCCTTATACAAATACTCTTGTGAGATAGGTATTTCTTAAGCCAAAAAGCTAGCCAGCTTCACTACTTTCTTTCTCAGCTGCCTGGAAAAGAGAGGTTTCATATATGCTGTCCTGTGTGATGAAGGTATCAAATAATGATTTGTCTCTTTCATTTGGCAGCTCTCTTAAATTTCACAGAACACCACAATATTTCCTTTCATGTTACTGGCAACTATTAATAGTATCAGTGTAAACAGTACTGAAATAATAAAAATGTATGCTATACAAATATCATCTGAAAGCCCAGTTTTCTGGATGATGGGTGACTCAATTACATTTACAATAAATTAGCACAATTAAATTCATAAGGCCCATAATCAAGGTTAATAATTAAACCACAAGAACAAATCTATAAAATTCTTCAGAAATTATGCTAACAAACAGAAAATAAAATGTTATGCTTTCAGATTTTTGACAGCAGGTCATTTACTCTGCAAGGTCTCCATCAGTAGACTTGTGTCAGCCAACTCTAGCAAATAATTTCTCATTCTCTTGCAACTTAATGAAATATCTCTCAACAGAGAGAAATTCTAGTATTCCGCAAGTAACCAGTCCAGCTCAGACCGTGCTGGGGCCATTTCAGTTGTTGTTGATTCCTGGGGTACTGAAATGAACAGAGACAGCAGGATTAAAGCATGAGCTATACCAGCGAGTTCCTCCAGCCTGGAGGAGGCTGTGCTGAGGCTTCTCCAGCTAAAAATAAAAACCAGAGCAGCCTCTGACCAAGCACTGCTGGTGGAGGCCAGCACAAAAGGGCTTCCTAGCTCCAGTGGGACACTGGCATTCCCTGCTCCTTCCTGCTCTGGAAGAATTTGGACCTGCAGACCCAAGAGAAAACTATACAGTTATGTAATTTCTGTGTCTCTGGGACCAGGGTAGGTGTTCATTTTGAACAGAAAGCTACAATACTAAAAAAGGAGGACAGGTTTAATGTAATCCTGCGGCTGCCTCATCCCTGGAAATGTTCAAGGCCAGGTTGGACAGGACTTTGAGCAACCTGATCTAGTGGAAGGCGTCACTGCCCATGACAGGGGGTTGGAAATAGATGATGGTCCCTTCCAACCCAATCCACTCCCTGATTCTACGCAAGATATGTACACATTAACTACTGAGTTTGCCCGCTTTATGGCTTTCTTCTGAATCACAAATAGGTGATTTTAAAACAAAGTGACTTCAACACAAGGAGATTCACGCCGCAGAGCAGCTGCCCCACGCGTGGTGTGCCAGGGACGCCACAGCAACACCCGGACCCCGGCCTTCCCGCGGCCGCTCTCTCCGGGTCCGCTCAGCTTCTTCCCAGCCGCGCGGTGGTTACCACGGGCGCCTCCCGTCCGCATCGGACGGCTGCCGGCAGCGGCACGCCGCAGCGAGCTGAACCCGCTCCCCTCCGCCTCCATCCGCCCCGCGGCTCACCCTGCCCGTGTCCCGCCCTGACGGGGCCGCACCGCCCCGACAACGCCGGCAGCGGCGGAGACCGGAGGGTAGAGGACAAGCCCCGGACCTCGCCCCTCCACGGACGGGCCCCGCAACAACGCTGCACCGCCCCTTTGCTGTCGGGAGGAAAAGCCGCCTCCGGGCCGGCGGCCTGTACCACCACAATGGGGGGGGGGCATAACGATGGGAGACGGTTGGTCCTTCAGCTCCCGACGGCACCGTCTTGCTCTGCACGGCTGCCCCGGTGACTGAAAGCAACCGCCTGCCCAGTGCGGCTGGCAGCGCTTCCAGCCCCGGCCCTGTCCCGATCTTCCGGCCCGTCCCGGTCCCCCCTTCCTGGGCGGGTGGTTCCATCCGGGCGAGGCCAGACTGTCAGGGGCAAGTGCCAGCCGAAGATGGCGTTTCCCGGGCAGCCGGCACCCGGCGGCGGTTTCTACCAGGGCGGGGTGAGCGGCGGCTGGTGGCTCTAGGCCGCCACGGCGGAACAGCTTGCCTGGGGCTGGGCAGCCCGTTCAATGCGCGCGGCCGAGGGGGCAACCTCCGGGCTGTCCTGAGAGGTGCCCGGTAGAGCTGGGGGGGGGGGGGGGGGGGGGGACGGGACACGACGCATCTCTGGTCCCGCGGCGCAGGCAGGGATGGCTTCAGGGGCTCACCGGGGCTGTTTGGGGCTGTCGGCTTTCAGGCTCGTGCGGGAAGCGATGAGAACCGTGTTAGGTGGGCTCTGCCCTGCCCTCTCGGCACCCTGCCCGCCGCTGACCCGCGGGAGGTGCTGCTGGGGTCAGCTCGGGGCTCCACCCGCGCGAGAGGGGACAAGCACATCCTGGCCGGTGCTGCCAGTGGGGCAGGGTCACTTCTGGGGGCGTCGCTCCCCGAGTCGGCTCACCACGGGAGCCCCCAGACGAGAGCTTTGCCTAATGCCTTGTGTAAAGGTCTGGAATTCTCAGTACAGAAAATATAAGGACCTGTTGGAGAGGGTCCAGAGGAGAGCCACAAAAGTCATCAGAGGGATGGAGCACCTCTCCTGTGCGGAAAAACCGCGCGAGTTAGTAGACTTGTTCAGCCTGGAGAAGGCTCTGGGAAGACTTTATTGTGGCCTTTCAGTGCTTAAAAGGGGCTTATAAGATGGGAAGAGAGTTTATAGCAGGGCCTGTTGTGATAGGATGAGGGATGATGGTTTTAAACTAAAAGAGGGGAGATTCAGGCTGGATGTAAGGAGAGAATTCTCTACAATGAGGGTGGTAAAACACTGACGCAGGTTGCCTGGAGAGGTGGTGGATGCGCCATCCCTGGAGACATTCAACACAAGGCTGGATGTGGTTCTGAGCAACCTGATGTAGTTGAGGATGTCCCTGCTCATTTTAGGGGGGGTGGACTAGATGATATTTGAAGGTCCCTTCCAACCCAGACTATTCTGTGATGCGATCAAAATCTGTCTTCACTTCAAGGGGCTGATAAATAGCCAAGTGGTGTTGAGGAACAAGGTACTCCTGCTCCAACTCAGCAAAGGACGGGCATAGATGCTGTTACACACGGACTATTGGCTCAACTCAGTCAAACATGATTAACTTGCATTGTTCCATGAATCAGTTTCATTTAAATTTTTCCATGCTTACGGCATATTCTTCCAAGCATTTTCCTTACAGATCTGTCTTGCTCAACATTTTTGGAATGGAAATAAAAATCTGTAGTGCCTTACTAGCCCTATCTTTGGTATCCCTTATCTGTAAGTAGAGACTAAAATTCAACCCTGATGAGATACAGCATACTGCACATAAATCAATGCATTGCTCCTGTGCAAGGTTTTACACTGATCTGCTTAAATTGTTGTAAGTGAGTATATCAATACCACGTTAAGGAATTTCTTTTTTGGTTGGTTTGACTTTTTTGCTTGGTGTGTGTGTAACAACACAAGTTGATTCTTAAGTACAAACACTGTCGTTCCTTAATTCAGTTAATCAAATCATTGATTGAAAGTCAATTTTCTTCTTGATTTTTAAAGTATGGAGGAGCTCCAGGAGGACCAGCATTCCCTGAACAAGCTCAGGATCCTTTGTATGGTTATTTTGCTGCAGTAGCAGGGCAGGTAAACTTATAAAATGTTATTTATTTCTTGGAATTTTCTTTTTTCCTGGGGAATGATTTCTGTGTTAGCTTTTGGCAAGGGGAATCCTTAGTATTTGCAGTGAGGAAAACTGTTGTTTCAAGTTGTTTGGGTTTGTTGTTTTTTTTAACCAACAGAATGGTTTTACTTAGCCTATCTGCTACATAGAGCTGTATAGCTTGACCATATAGCTATATACACAGTAACTACAGAGTTTAAGTAATGCTGTTAGTTTCTGCATACAGTGTGTCTGTGTGTGTAAATGCAGACATAGATACACATACATGTATGTATATAAGCACTGTATTTCCTGTGTAAGTATATACAGGGCCTATATAGTTATATGAAATGTTGTAACTGAATTGTGGCTCAGCTCGGGGTTGGGTAATGCTACCAGCTTCAGGAGAAGGAAGCAGGAAACAATGGGAAGTATGAGCTGTGGAGATGGCTTGGCTAAGAGCAGGAAATGCTAATAAGAAAGAGATCATGGCATGATCTTAATAGACTCACAAATGGAAAAGCAGTCTGGAGTTGTACCAGTATCTGGGTTTGCTGGGAGGATGGAGTGGTTATTCTTTTAGAGGAAAAGGCATTCGCAGCTTTGATATAGGTCTTTCTTTTTTTCCTCCCTGTCATTCTGCACTCCATTTTTAATTTATTTCCTATATTTTTGTGGCATATATTTGTTTTGTATGATTATGGATGTTACTAGAAATAAGTAGTTCTTGAGCTGTAGTTTAGATGCAAAGAGGTGCATTGAGATAAGCTCTGTCTTGGTTGTCCATATATATAGCTATTTATTGCTCCCTTCTAGGGGGTGTGAAAATCTAAAACTCTGCTCCTAGATCTGTTATCCACAGGTATGTAACCACAACATGGAAATTTGAATTCAGCAGTATTAGCTGATGTTTAAATTCCCAGTTTAAAGAGTGTAATTTGGGTTTTGTTCTGTATGTTATTCTTTTGATTTAGTAATGCATCTTACAGTATATATATTACTTCTCTAACATTGCTTATGAAAATATGTAGACCATGTATTTTTGTAGTACAGGAGAACACTGGAATGACCTATGTGTAGTGAGGCAGGCCTCTCAGATAAGGTGGAGCCCAGGCTAAATTCTGCTAAACATGCTGGCCATTTACTTGCCAGATGAGATGCCTTTGCACCTGGATGTGTGACAGGAATCAGCAGTGGAGCAAGTGACTGGCGCTGGAAAAATGAGTAAGCTGCTAGTGTAAAGAGAAAGGGAGGTAACAGCAAACAGAATGCAGTAATGTGGAGAAGAGATGGCAGGAGCTTGACCTCAGCAAAGCATAGACCATCCCCAGGCTTCTCCAGTGAGGGAGGATTACTGAAAGCTGGAGAACCAGTGAGCTAATGGGTACGATCAAGTTTCATTTAATACTTAAGTTAGTACTCTTAAATACTTTCTATTTGTAGAAATCATTCATTATTGAAATAAGCTGGGTAGCTTTTGAAATGTTATCCTTGGAATTGTAAGAGTCAGTTTCAGAGACCTATGACTGTGCAGAAGTAAAAATACTGTAAGAAGAAAGTGAAATAGAACAGGTAGAAGAAAGAAGCATTGTTTTAAATCTTTATTTGAGTCTGTCTTTGTAGGAAGTAATAGAAGCAATAATTTTCATTTTTCTGTTCTCAAAACCCCTGTGCCTTGTCCAGTTTAACTGCTTATGTTCTACTTTAAAAAAAAAGAAAAAAAAAGGGCCAAGCATCTTTTTTTATAATAGTAATCATGATTACAAATCCTGCTTCTCTTCCTGCCTCTCCTAAAGATCCTGCCTTTGTTTCAGAAGGCACAAGGAATTTGAAGAGATTTGCTGCTTAATATGCATGGCTGTTTCAATTCTCTTTTTTTTTTTTTTATTTTTGCGTGAAAGTAAAATTTTAAATACATTTATATTGTTAGGCTGATGGAGTAGATTTGAATCAATTTTGGAATTTGCTGCCACTAATTTTACATAGAATCAAATCATTATTGCTCTTTTTTTCAGACCTTGTCAAATATAATTTAACATATTAACTACTACTTGTCCTATAAGCAGCGATACTTCATTTCGGAAAGTTACCTGGGTGTGCCATTCCTGCTGTGCCAATTAGTAGCATGTCCTGGTTATTAAAAAAAAATGAAGATAGAAAGTGCTTACTGGATTTAAAACATTATGAAGATGCCGAGGCAAATAAATTTCTTTTGAATATAAAGCAACTCTCTTCTCACTATTTAATGCTTTACAAAAGTGACATCATATTTTAGATCTACAGATACACCATTCCATACTTGAATGAGTCAGATTATCTTGAACTCTGTATGAACTGAACTTCATGTTGTGTGCTTGAGGAATGTGACCTATTAATTCCAGCTCCACTTTTGACAGCTCACTGCTTTCCATGAGTTGGCAGTTGTTTTCTCTACGTGTCTCTGAGCAGGATCTGTTGGCAGTGAGTCATTTTCCAAACCGTGCAGATAGGTACCTTTCCTGTGTTTGTTTGGTTTTTCTTTCAAAGTTCTTTGCTTTCTGCTTTTGTTCTGCTAACAACTGCTATTCACCAAAAAACAGGGAGTTTTAGATTTGTAAGTCTTAGGGCTGTCTTGAGAAGAGTGTCTGTATGATCTGGGTTCCTGGTTTCCTACTGTAGCAGTGAGATCATAAATGTGTAATCTAAGGTGACTACAATATCCACTAAGTTAAAATTAGCACTTTAAGGAAAGCTGTCTTTCTGTTCAAAATCGTGTGCCTTGGTTTCTGTGCAGCTGGCTCTCAACTATATGCTACTAATATTTGAGGTAGATTTGTTGCTTTGGGATTATTTTTAAAGTTCACTTTGTAGTGCATCATTAGATAGGAAAACTAATGCATATTGCAAAAGTATCAACTAAAGAAACATTGTTACAGGTAATGGGTTATAAAAGACAGTTTCTGTCCTATAGCAAACAGGTAGTCAGTTGGTTTTTGAAAGGGTAACTACCTGCCACTGAAAAGGGAGTGGGTACTGGGAATAAGCAGCCTGGGAGAGGGGATTAAAACAATAGCTGATACATCTTCTGTTACCAAAAGGATGGACAAATAGATGCTGATGAGCTACAGAGATGTCTCACCCAATCAGGGATTGCAGGAGCCTATAAACGTAAGTTAATGATTTAAATTAAAAAAAAAACAACCCTAAAGCATACCATTTCTTCTGCCATCTGCTAGAAAACACTTGTAGTTGTGCTTTCTGTAGAATTTTGGGGCTTTTATTATTTGCATGGTAAACATGCTTGCTTTCCATATGGAAATGTAAATTCTCTGCATTTAGTTCTATACATGTAGGACTTTCCTTCTCAGCCTCCTAATTTTTCCTCCCCAGTGCTGGGCTGTGAAGTTGGGGAAGCATTTTGTTTTGTTCTTTAAAAGACAGCCATTTCTTAAAAAGGTGTTTTGCTTTGCTCAATATCAAAGCTCAGCTCAAAAACAAGAATTTCTGTAGCATGACTCCTCTGTCAGGATACCTCATGTTCAATTTAGAAAGTGGAGCTTCTATGAGTAAAACTGGCTTGCTCAAGCGGTGTCTATAGTCAAATAGAAATGGCTGAAACCTAAAACCTTTATGGATTGAGATAAGAGCATATTAATTTTAAATATAAAGTGAATTGCCTCTAGGTTGACTGCTGTCATTTTTTCTAACAAGTATTCATGAAAAGCTCTTATTTGGATCAAAATATGGTACGAGTCTGTCCAGTGGAAGCAATTAGATAATATTCTATACATTATATTAGCAGCATATAATAAAAAGCAATTTAAAATTTTATGTTTAGATAAAGTTAAAAATAATTCTTTTAAGGTAATTTATTTTTTTCCATGTTCTAATTTAAATAGCTTTCAATTTAGAGACTTGCAGACTCATGATCTCGATGCTGGATGTATCCTTTACTATGAAATGTAAAAATTTTTCGCATTATGTAAGCAAAGGTGAGAGGGTGCCAAAATTTTGGGAAATGCTTTATAATTCCCATTCGGGCCTTACTTGATAAGTATTGTGATCTTTATGGTTAGATAGCTACAAAATTCCATTCTTATTTGTTTGCAAGGATGAAATAATAATAAACGAGGCTCTCAATGGCTGATACTCTTAAAACAAGTGGTATCCCTCTAAGCCTAGGGGCTGGTCTGGCAGCCCAGAATAGTTTTGTGCAAACTAGCTCATCGTGTCAAGTTGGACAACATTCCAATCCGTGCTAATGAATTAAGCATTTATACTACCTAGCCTGAATATAATCTAAGCCCCCCTAAAGGAAGCGCCTGGAATGAATCAGGTGTCAGTATCTAATGCGGTGGTGTATGGCATTCAGCAGTAGGACCTATGGAAGACTGGCATACACAGTACAAGGCTAGAATCTTTGGAGTGTTTTTTAGTCAAAACTTAAGTTGCCATGTTCAAATGTTTTGCTGTTTATAAAGAGCAGAAGTGAAACTGGAAGGGCTGTTAGCTCACCTTCAACAAATGTTGCAGAATGCAAGAGACTTTTTCATTTGGCATCTATTTTTGTTTCAGTTATGTATTTCATTTGTAACAATAATATTGTGGCAGGTAAAAGAAAAGTGTGTGAAGTAAGTTAAAATCATAAAGAGCAAATAACTTTATCAGGTTTCAGTGGGAAGAAGTGGGGAGAGCAAGTTCTCTGACCTTTGGGTTTGGTCGGTAGTTTTATCTCTTTGCTGTGGGTTGCTGTAGTTAGTTTTCCACCGGAAAACTTAGAGTAAAACATTGTTAATATTGATCTCCAAGAAAAAAAAAATAACTACAGATGATAAAAAATACAAATTGCCATTCAAAAGGGGTTTTTAGATTTTTTTTTTTTTTAAGTTAAGAAACATTTTCCTTATCTTTGGAATCAGAGGGATATGTCTGGCACACTGGGATTTAATGAGTTTAAAGAACTTTGGGCTGTGATCAGTGGCTGGAAGCAACACTTTGTAAGTTTTGACAACGATAGAAGTGGTACAGTGGATCGCCAAGAATTGGAGAAAGCCTTGATGACCATGGGTAAGTTTTGAAATGTTCTTGTCTCAGGTGCTGATTTAGAGCACTTCCCAGTACCTCTTACCATCCTGCAATAACTGACACATATTTCCAATTAAAAATGTGTTGGATTCTATTAACCTGTCTTTTCAAAGTAGACTTTTTATTCTCAAATAGGATTCAGACTGAGCCCACAGGCAGTGACCGCGATCACAAGGCGATACAGCACTCATGGCAAGATTACATTTGATGATTACGTTGCCTGCTGTGTGAAACTCAGAGCTCTCACTGGTATGCTGGATTACAGCCTCGTTACTGTCATCCCCATAATACATTTTTATTTAATAAAATCTGATTACTCACTTAACTGAAGTTCAACTTTTAACTTTTACATAGCACAAAATAGGTTTCTTTCAATAGAATTTACAGGCAAAACTGGAACAATTACAGATTATGATGTTTTAATTTCCAATTGAAAAATGGATTTAAAACTAATGCAGGGTTTATTCCAGAGATTAGAAGAGTTATGATATAAAAATTGGGCAACTATTTATTAACAGAACATGAAGGATTGTATATGATAAATATGACAATTAAGTACAGGAGGTTAAGTCTTGGAATGAATTGTAGTGTTCTTCGTGAGTTCTCATTTATGTGACTTGGGAATTCTATGAAAGTACTAAAAGAAAAAGTAACTGTAATTATTCTTATCTGATTTCTATTAATGTATTTTTTCAGAATGCTTTAGAAGAAGGGATGTATCTCAGCAGGGCTTTGTGAACTTCCAGTATGATGATGTAAGTGAACTTTAAAGAAGCAGTTACAATTACAGGATAAAACTGAAGAAAAAGTTAAAACTGAAGAAAAGCAGTAATAATTTGAGTTCATTCGTGTCTTCCCTATGCTTCTGGTGTTCCCTGAGAGCACAAAGGTTTTCAGTTTTCCTGAGTATTATCTCAGAAAGTTTTCATGTATTTTATAGAGTTCTGTAATATGTTGTGCATTTTTGCCTGGACTTCCTACCAGAGTGGCTCAAGAAGATCTAAGAAGCTACATCACTCACTCACATGAATTCCTCATATCATTTTCTGGGATATTTTTTCCTTTCTTTGTTTCAAAGCTTGGTAGGCTTTTTTCCCTAGAAAAGGTTGGGGAGGTGAGAGTGGCCAAGACACAAAGCCAGTCTTGGCTTCCCATCTGCATCTGTGCAGGAAAAGGATAACGCTAGGTTCAGATGTTCCTGGGGGTTTTATTGTTATTGTTGAGGAGCTCCTTTGGTTTAATTGCTAGCTAATTTTCATATTTAGTTTCAAAGCTTTGTTGTTCATGGGCTGAATTTGTTTACAGAAAAGAGCAGTGACAATGGGTAGTTTAGGAGAAAAAATGAAAACTTGTTCTCTACCATACATCTAATAAGTGATTGTTCTTTTTTTCAGTTCATACAGTGTGTTATGAGCATCTAAATCAAAAGGAAGCAAGCCATGGATGATCGTGATTAACATTCCAGTTTGTGTTTTGCTTTGCCAAATCTTCCAATGATTGTGTATCTCAGTAATGGAAATTACATATTTTTATGCAGGTATCACTTTGGTTGGTTTTTTTTCAGTTTTTACAGTGAATATGTAATATTCATGTAATACTGTCTGTAACTTCTAACTGTAACTATTAAAGATGTTTTTATTCTCATAAACTTGCAATTAACTGCGTATAGCTCAAATTATGCAGATAGTAAGATTTTCTTGTGTTTACTTTTTTCCTGCGATGCACTAAAACCAGTTCCTGGAGTGCAGCTTGCCTTTTTCTGTCTTAAACAGTATCATGCGTATGGCATAAGATGATAAATATTCTTCTCTCTTTGACAGCGTAAGACAGGTGTATGAACTGAAAGAGCTTTTGGAATGGTTATTTTAGGCTGGTCTATTAGAACATCAGTAAGATTAAGTTGCTTATTTTGACAGCTAGCTATCTTCAGGATGAAGTCTGTGACAACATGTGCTGAACACAAGACTACCTGATAGAACTTCTCATAGGCAGGTGTGCGACAAAGCACAGCAGAGAACTCTCCTGGCAGTGTGCTCTTGCATAGGGGCCTTTTGCTCCAGTAAGGTTCTCGCTCTGTTTGTGTCACTATATAAACCACTTTTAAACATACAAAAACTATGCTGTGTCAGTTTATACCTTAACTTTCCCTTGATCAATGAACTTTTAAGGTGCCAGGCTTCAGTACATGTAAATTAATGTTTCTGTCTCCTGCACTTCAAATCCTAACAAGCAGGCTTCTTGCCTCAGGATGCCAATTAATACATAGGGCCCAAAACTCACTTTTGAAAAATTCTTGCTAGATGACTGTTTCAGATCATGGCAGCGGCCACCAGTGCTGTAGAATTCACATGAAAGCAGATACAAAAAGGCAAGACTTTTTTGACTGAGAATTTTCAGGGAAGAAAAGAAGGGTGTTTGGTGAGGACTTTTGGTTGTATTTTGGGGGGTATGGGGAGTTTTTTCCTGAGGGAAGATTGACACAGTATGGTAAGAGGGAGCAGCACAACTGTTTGGAGGTAGTTCAGACATTTTTCCAGTTAAATAAGTTAATGAAACTTTGTTAATTTGGGTCACTTTTGCATACCACAGCGGAGTGATAGATGTTCTTTTGCTAGTCTTGCAGATGGAAAGAATGCCAGAAGAATGTTAAAAGGAGTATATTTCTTATATTACTGGTTTAGAGCACTTCTGGGGAGGATCTTTTGCCCTAAGGCATTCCTTAAGCATGTAAGCAAAGCTATACATATATGCATACATATAGATACGTATGTGTACATGTCGCTGGACAAACAACAGAAGTGATTGTCAGAGCAGAAATCTTGACTGAAGATACTATTTTGTACCCTAACTACTAGCTAGTATTACTGTAAAATCCAGATCACTAGTTCCCGGGCTCTAAATGCCAAGCAGGCTGGTCTCACCTAAAGAAGCAACTGGTATATACTACTTGGATCTTCTTATAGTTTTATTTCAGAAGCTAGTTCTCTTTATGCCTTCAAAAAATTGTTTTAAAGGCATAGATGTGAATGTACTTCCACATTCTGATAATTGTACGTTGTCCTGTTGCACATAAGGTTGGGAATGGAATGCTGCACAAAGCATTTCTAACATAGTAACCAAACTCCATAAAGGTTTGTCTGAGTGAGCATCAGTTCGGCTGCAGTTCAAAACTTAAACAGCTGGCAAGGTTAGTAAGAGCAAAGGCTGTTCTTCCTGTAGGGTTTTGATTAGACCATTTTGCATAAACACAGTATTCACCCTCACACTGCTAACTTTGCCCTAAAAATTATGAGACAACTTTACCAAAATGCGCCTTGACCACGCAACTTTCATCTTACACTTTCGCTTAATTGTGTTGCTAGTCCAGTACTAGGTTTATCTGGAATGGAGTTAATTTTCTTTACATTAGCCCACAGGCTGCCGTAGTTTAGATGTGTGACTAAACCAGCACAGACAACACACCAGGGGTTCAGCTGTGCAATGCTTGCACAGCATCAGGGTCTCAGTTTCTCACTTTATGACAATGATGAGTAGGCTGAAGGTGGGCAAGAGGCTGGGAGGGAACACGGTGGGGAGAGCTGACCTGACTGACCAAAGGGAAATTCCACACCATGTAAAGTTGTGCTCAGCGCTAAACTTTGGGCAGGGGTAGGTCTCTCCAAAGCAGCTGTTGCGTGAGGACTGGTTGTGCATTACTCTGGGGGGTGGGAGGTGGTGAGTGAGTGTCTTTGCACGGCTTACACACACACACACAATTTTTCATTCATTTATTAAGCTGATTTGCTTTGGTCTGCACTTTTTTGCTTTTGCTCCTCCAAATCTCCAGCCAGCACAGGCCTGAAACTGCTAATGACAGCAAACATCAGACAATAATGAATACAACATCCTTGTAAAGAAGTGTAACTTATTAAATGATCAGAGACCTCACAGAAGTTCCACACTCCTATACAGGTATAAAGTTATGCAATAAATTATGAGACTTACTGGTGAAATAATACATGGGAGTAAAATTAGCTTATTTTGCATAATTTGAGGGTGGTTTTGGGGGTAGGATTACTTCTTGATTTTTTATAGTGAGAGGTGTAACAGGTGGCTGGAGCAGTGAAGGAGGAGGACCAATAACACTCAGACTCAAGTCTTTCTCAGTTTTACTTCCTCAGGCTGAATTACTGTTTTGGCAGCAGCCAGCTACTTGGCAGTGAATTGCTGCAAGAACAACAGTGTGAACCAACAGGCTTTCTTTGGGAATCTTCTTGTAAACACAAAACCAAGAAAAGCGGAAGCCAAATTGCTGCAAACCCAGGAATGAATCCTAGGTTACCTGAGAAAGAATCGCTTTTTATTTGCCATAAGCATTTAAAAAATCCATGGTATTGTCTTTGATAGAATAAATCATTTAGATGTAAACTAAGATAATAAATACTTTTGCTAAGGAGTGATGACAGAATTTGCTATCATCTAGCTAAACAAAAAAAGCTTCCCCATTAAGACTAGATTGTGTGGACAATTAGAATATGCTGGTTACCCACTTTAGGGAAACAGTTAACTTTGAACGAAGGGTTTCTTTTTCCCACAGGGCACACTAGGAAGGACGCTTACACGATACTGTGTGGTGTGATTGCTCCTGACCTTTCTGCAAACTGGGTGTAGTTTACAATATTCTTTCTAGGTTGCCTTCAGACATGCAAACCTGAGGAACAGTAACTGTAGATTTGCCTTGAGACCATCAGGACCATAAGTCAAAGACTGAGAAGCTCACAGGATCATTTTAAACCCTGGAATGTGAAAAATAACATCCGTATTCTGTTATTAGACAGTAGTTTGGGGTTTTTTTTGTTGTTCTTTTGTTTGTTTGTTTCCATGCATGCAGCATCTTTTTTCTTTTTACAGAGACCTGTAAAGTAGGAAGTGCTAAAATGTAAGGATTTAATGAGAACAAAGTACACACAACAGTCTTTGTCATTGAAAGTCACTTTACTGATGTTACAGTATGTCAGTAACATTGAAAACCACAGGCATTTGTATTAAATACTCCCATGGAAGTAGATACTGTGATGCTGTTATTAGAAGTGAGCAGGAATTTAGAACCCCAAATTATAATTATTTGATTTTATAAAAAGCGACATTTTGGTTAGCTACATGAAAGCCAGATTCATTCACTTCAACAGCCCAATGCCTGTGATGTTTTATGACAGAAATATCACACTCAAAGCTAGAAAGTTGTAAATTGCAATGCTTCATTTTGGTATTTGTCAAAATCTTATGTTTCTACTACATCAGGTATGATTTTTTTAAGGATTTTTAACAAGCAAAGACAACAATATGATGTAGGGTGGTTGTTTTTGCCAATAGTAGCCAGCCCCAGTGGTGAAACGAGATTCTCATCACCTCTGTCAGTGTTTTACCAATCAGGGCTAGTTCGAGTGAAAAAATAGTTTTGTTTTTCATTCCTTTTTACAGCAATGCCCAAGTTAAACATCAGCACAAAATGAAGCTGGCAGAGGCAATGGGTATATACTGCCCCAAAAGCTTTGCTGAAAGAACTGCTTGTATTGTGTTCTCTCCAGCAGATTAAAAATTTTGCAATGCTTTGCTACTTTGAAAAAAATATTCCGCATTTATGCAACAATAAAAATATGTACTGTATTCTATATAAAACACCACCTATTTTCATATATATTTATCCTTAAGGAAAGAAAAATCAGGTTATATATTCACAGTTTGAGTATGTTCTGGACTGTATCTCCAAGCATAAAATACACAGAATCTCTACACAGGCAGTGAGCAGGAGTCCTTGTACCAATAATTGAAAGCAATCAGCAACTGCTGTTCTACAGAGCCTTAACAACAATGCATGATTAGCTGCTCGCACCACTAGATGTACAAGGTCAGCCAGGCCTACACACAGAATTTCTAATGTGATTGTAAAAATAGACTCTCCATGCCAAAATTAGAATATATAAGGTCTTAAGGCCTCGTGTTAAGACTGGTTTTTTTAACCAAAACTATTTGTTTATTCAGAGGAATACAGAAACAGTAAAGAAAAAAAGCAAAAGCTTGTTGCTTTGACATTTTATGCTCTAGTAATTAAAAATAGTATAAGACAGACACCCATGCTTCTCCTTTAGAGAATGTGTTTTCTTTTTAACTGCTCTGTGCTTCTTTTCCCCAGTCTTCCTTGCCTCACTCTGTGTTAATATTGCAATAATGATCTGTCTACATAGCAGTTCTTGAACAGTTTAAAGCTGGCTTAGCTGAAGTGATCTTGAAACACATGTAAATGGGATGCTAGAGAACTAAACCTGCCACAGCTGGCTAGGTGAGCCAGTTCTGAAGTTTCTCCAGTGTGAGCAAAGGACCACATTTCTGTATTCTGCACTTATTTTTACTGCTTGTTTTGGTTGAGATAACATCTGAATGTTGTCTGTAGTAGTGCTTCTCCAAGTAAACTTGTGGAATGACAAGATACTACATATTGGGTGCATGAGTTACTGTTAAGAAAGCTGTAGTTGCCATCAGCATCCATACTTCCAGCACCAGAAATATTTTGCGTAAACTGACTTGGAAAATAGGTAAAAATAGGTGGCTGATAGAAACTATTACTTCCTCTCCTGTTTCTGATGAAACCACACTTAAAAGAGTCCTATC